CTGTGCTCAACATCCTCCTTGTTCATAAACATTTGCTCATGTGTCTTTCTTTTTTTAGTGGTTCTGTGATTGAACCTAGAGCCTCGGACATGCTAGGCAAGTGCTTTACCTTATTTCTGTGAGGCAGATCCTGCAGTTAAAATTATGACATGAAGCATAAGTGCTTTATAAGTTTTTTAATACTGATTGCCAAATTGCCTTCTAAAAAGGTTATGCTAATTTACACTCCCAGGGTAATTGCATTCCACAGTATATGACTGTTGATCTCTCGTTAACTTCACCAATGTTGAGCATATTGTTTAAAAAAGAAAACCTGCGTAAATTAGCAAGCAAAATTTATGTTTGGTTTGGTGCTGGGTGTTAGACCCAGGGCCTCCTGCATGCTGAACATGGCCTTTGCCACTGAGCAGTGCCCTCCACTCCTGTCTTGTTTTAATTTTAATTTCTCAAACTTTTTGGTTTATTATTGTAATTTTTTTCTTTTACCGCTTATCTTGATACCTTTTGTCCAGTTTTTTATTGGATCTTTGACCCTTTCTTTGTCATTCACAATGGCAAATGAATCTTTTTGTTTCTTTTAGCGTTTACTCTTGAATATTTAATTTAATTTATTTGTTTATTCTGCACAGGATCTACTGTGTAGCTCCAGCTGGACTTGGGCTCCGGGTAGTCCAGGCTGGCCTTGGGCTGGCGGGGCTCTTTCTGCCTCCACCTCCCAAGTGCTGCACACACTCAGCTTGTTTGCGTGCTTCTTTGTTTCCTTCTTTCCAATGCTGGGAATCAAGCTCAAACCTGTGCTTGCCAGGCAAGTGCTGTGCTGCTGAGCTACATCCCCAGCCCTCGTTTGCATGTTTTGGAACATAGATATCTTAAGCCAAATCTATCAGTTTTGTTTATACTTTTTACTTTAAATATTAAGCTTAGAAATGGACTTTCATGTTCTTTATCAATATATGTAATTAATATAAACATTCATGTTGTATTTGAGCATTTCAGAAATACAGTATCTGGAATCAGCCTAGAGTGGTGGCACACACCTGTAATCCCAGACTTTGGGGGGCTGAGGCAGGAGGGTAACAAGTTCAAGCCCTATGTAAGCAAGTTAGGGAATTAGTGAGACCCTGTCTCAAAATAAAAAGGGCTTGAGATGTAGCTCAGTGTGAAGATCCTGAAGCAATCCCCAGTATCTCATGGGGAAAAAAAATCTAAAATCTGTTTGACATATGACTTGGGAAATCTAAATTTTATTTTATTTTTTACAACAAAATTATCCTAATACATTGAGAAATTTTTAGTTTCTCCAATGATTTGAAATACCTTTCTTACCTTATGCATACTTTAGTCTACTTTGGAAGTTTCGTTCTGCTTATTGTACTTTTGTACTGATTTTTATACCATGCTAACTTTTGAGATTTCATTTTAATGCCTAGTAATATCAGCCTTCAGAATTGCTACAAGTTTTCAACATTACTTTGGATAGAGTCCAGCAGAAGCCTAGAATTATATCATCAAATTCTGAGGAAGAATCCCATGGGGATTTTGATTCATATTGCATTTAATTAAATAACAGCTTACTATGCTAACAAGATTCAAGCTAGCTGTCTTTTAATGAACTATATTTGGTTTCTTAATTTGTTAAATTTATCTCATTCTGTAGTTGAATACATTTGATACACAGGGATTACAGTAATTATGATTTAATATCTTTTTCAATTATTTTGACACAAGTCTAATACATTTATAGACTCCACGACGATGTTCTGTATTTTCGTTATATATGCCCTTCTTTTTTTATATTGGTAGCTTTTTACCAGTTTCCTTATTTGCAGTCGCACTGACTTTATCGTTTTAGTAATTTTATATTTTGCCCTTTATAAAGACAGTAGCAGTGATATGAGATTGAAATGGGCCTAATGCCAGACTTAGCAGTTTTATAGACAATACTCTTAGCACATTAATATCTTTATAATTAGTTGGATTCATATAGCCCAGTAGAAAGTGTATTTTGCAAATAAAATTCTTTGGTGTAGAAATCTATCAGCTGTGTCTCTTTGCCCTTAATAATAACAGATGGTAATATTCACCTAGCAGATTACAAACCATCTGGTTTATTATATTGCTCTCTAAACTGTCATAATGAGTTTAGATTACTAATTGCACATTCCCTGACTTACCCATAACCTTGCTAGGATAAACATTTTCAGATTTTATATATTATGATAAAAATGATCTTTAACATGGGGCTAGGTGTTGTGCACATCTGTAATCCCAGCACTCAGGAGGCTGAAGCAGGAGGGTTACCGTGAGTTTGAGGCCAGCCTGAACTATACATAAGGAGACCCTGTCTCAAACAAAAAAGTTTAACATGAACTTTTAAATGTTTTAATTATAAATATGAATTCATAAATTTTACAAATTTATGGCTTTCACTTTGACTTTTCTGTGCATGCATATATTGTGTTTTCATCGTACCCAGTCACCCAACTATCTTTCCTTGATCTTTTCTCTCCCTTTTCCCTAGAGCCTCTCCCTGAATAATAGTCCTGCTCCTACGTGTGTGTGTGTGTGTGTGTGTGTGTGTGTGTGTGGGTGTGTGATTTTTGTTCACATCTCCACATGTGACAGAGAGCATACGGTACTTGTCCTTCTGCATCTGGTTCTCTTTGCTCAGTGTGAAGACCTCCAGTTCCATCTGTTTTCCTACAAGCGATATCATTTCATTCTTCAGCAGAATCAAATTCCACCTAAGCTGGTCCCATAACCTGGCTATTGTGAGTGGAGCGCAGTAAAGTGCAGTGTGCAGCTGTCTCCAGGGTGCGGACTCCACTTCATTCAGGTGCATGCCAGGAGTGGCCTAGCTAAATCACGTGGAAGTGCGTTTTTGTTTTTCTGAGGAGCTTCCATATTATTTTCCATGTGATTCCACAGATAATGCCAGGGGAACTGGTTGTCCATATGCAGAAGATTGAATTAGCCAGACTCCTGTTTCTTCCTCACCCTGTACAAAAATCAACCCCACATGGATCAAAGGCCTTAATGTAAGGCCTGAAACTTGAAACTACTCCAGGGAAACACTTCAAGATGTAGACACAAGCAATAGTTTCCTGACAGCACTCCGGCTGCTCAGAAACTGACATGAGATTATGTCACAAGCTTCTGCATGGCAAAGCAGTCAGAGAGACAGGTACAGAATGGGAGAAATCTTTGCTAGCTCTTCATCTGACAGAAGATTACCATCCAGAATTTATAAAGAACTCAGAAAAGTTTGCAGAAGGAAAAAACGGAACCAGCGCGTGAATGGCCAGTGGTCTGAATAGACACTTCTCGGGTACAGAGACCCACACACTGGGCCGGTGGGGAGGCACACGTCCAGAGCACAGAGGTTCTTCCTCAGCCCGGCCCACAGCTGTTCCTAGAAACAGCAACAGCTGCTGCTGAGGCTGTGAGGCAGTGCGGGCATGCCCACGCGCTGGTGGTGAGGATGTAGGTTATCTTTTACCTAGGCGTTTTCTATTTCTCCTCTTCCATTCCTCACTTAGGTAACAGCAGCAGGGGTGTAGAAGCTGTGGCCGTGGTTCTGTGAGCACCTTGTGGTGCTCCAGAGGTCTTGGTGGAGTTAGCCTGGTAGTCTTCTTTCTCACTTGTACAGACTCAGGTGAAGGGAGGTGTTGGTGCAGTGCCCGGGCTCACCCTGCTTGGCTGTTCACCTCTGTGCCGTCATTCCAGTGACTTCTTCCATCAGCCATTTCCTCTGGAGGGTTTGAGGTGGACGCCAGCCCCGCTGGTAGAAGCAGTTTCTTTCTTTGGGCCATACCAGATCACTCTGGAGCTGTGTTTATCTTTGTCTCAATTAGAGTAGCAGGCACCTACTGTTCTGAGTGGTGTTAGCCAGGTTCCTGGCTATGTTTATCAGTTACTGATAGCAAACCTTCTCAGGCTTGCAAAGTATTATGAGTTTGTTTGGTTGGTTAGTTGCTTTTGGTTTTGTGAGACAGGGTCCATGGCAGTCCTCGTGGGCCACTGTGCCCGGCCCTAGCATCCCAAGTTTTTCTCATTGCCTTTAGTGTTGCATATTTCACTGGCGCTGTTTCCTCTGCGACTGGTGTCCATATTTTCTCCATGGAGCAGCGGTTCTGTGGACAGCCCCCTCACCCTTTGCTTCTTCCTGGCTCAGCCTTGGGAGCTGCTGGTCGTGGGAGATTGCTGTGAACTCTTTCCCCATCCTTTCCTGCTTGATTCTGTTGTCTCTCAGCGTTGGTTCCTCCCTTCTCTGTCCTTAGCATCCTTACTGATCTCCTCCCTTTCCATTGTAAGGCCAGATGTCTGGCCCTTGCCGTCACACGTGCTTTCAAATTAAATTGTTAAGCACTTAATATAGAGCCTTGATTTAATATTTGGATACAGCAAACTCTACTATTCTGTAGTGTTCACGCTTCAGCTTGAGTGAAAGCTACATGCAGAGACCTTCTTTCCAGCAGGATTCTTACAGGTGTCAGATGAGAGGGGCACAAGCCAGAGCAACCTGAGCCCGGTAACGCCCAGAACTCGCCCCTCACGTCCGGTGTTCATGCTGTACTTAATCAGCTCAGAAATACACTTTACATCTATAGTTAGGATTCATGCTCCAGGCAGTAGTCCATGCTAATTTAATTGGAAGCCTGTTTCCTCTCTTGGAGGGACATAAAGTACTGATGTACCTCAACCTAGTGGGGTCTAGATTTTATGAACTGCAGTGAGTGCTTCACACGCCTGGTCCTTCTGCCTCAGCTCCCCAGGCTGGCCTCCAGCTGTGCCCCTGCAGCCAGCTACTGGCTAACACCGGTTGATTTCCTGCGTCTGGTTTACCACCCTAGATCCATATGCTATCTGTAGCAACCGAAGGCACAGAGAAGTTCAGCGAGTGATGGAATTAAAGCTTGAACCCAAGCAACAAAGTAGTTCAGGGTTTCCATGTGTGCACTGCCTCTCCCTAACTGGTGGCTTTCTCTCCTCTCCTAAAGGCATCGCTGGCTTCACAGTATGACTGACGACCCTCCAACAACCAAGCCCCCCACGGACCGAAAGTTCATTTGGAAGACACATCAGTTCAACGTGAGCGGCACTCCACAGCAGTACGTACCGTACTCCACCACTAGAAGGAAGGTTCAGGCGTGGGTCCCACCTTCTACACCTTACAAGTGAAGACGGCCTTGCAGCCTGTGAGATAGGGCTTTTCTCAGAATTGCACTTGGACTGTCTCCTCTTAACTTGATTAAAATTTGTTTGACCAAGCCATTGTCTTTTTGTGCCACTTTTTCTTCTAGATTTGTCATTTATGCATTTGCAAAATAGAAGCTCACATAGATGGGTGATTGAAGTAAACATCAGCTATGGTGACACCTGGTGGAGTTGTCAGGTTTTGAAAACAGCCCCTGGGGTTGGGGTTTGTAGTTTGTGATCTTACCCACTCCCTGTGGAGACCTAAGCCACTCTGGGCCAGACAGATTTTCCCACAGGCATTTGGAAGGGGCACGGAGAGACCCGAAGGCGGAGGGGAGAGGTGTCCGGACAGGTGGCTTTTGTGCAGTGCTCCAAGGAGGAGCTCAGCAGAGACTTCCGGTGTCCTCCTGGGCTTCCTTAATGCTTTGATCTGTGAGCTACCCCCAGCACCTTTCTGATGTATTCTTATTTTTTTATGATAACTAATAACACCAGGGGTTTGTGTTTTTGTTGTTGTTGCTCACAAACAAAAAACATTAAGGCCCCAGGGAAGTGTAGGATGTTGGATGGGTTGTTGTGTGGGGTGAGAGGCAGTGCTGAGTCTGTTCTTCGGGGTGCTTCCCATTTTCCTTTGGAGAGTTCCTATAGAAATATGGATATGAGACAAAAGCCTAATGTCCCAAGGGAACAAGGAGCAATAGCCAGAGCCCAAGGAGAGCTGCGGTCTCTCACTTGTAAATCCCAGCAAGCTGGGATTCAAGGCAGCAGATAACAGCTTCTCCTGCAGGTGCCCTGTTCTTTGATCCCTTGCTTGGGATGTTATCAGCTAGCATTTGTGTAAACCTAGTGTTAGGCAATGGTGGACGTCCATAGAGAAAGTAGTTTGTGTTCACCAAGGTAATTATGCCCATTCCTTAACCTGCCTTTAGCCCTCAATAAATGTGAGATGCTTCTGTGGCTCTGGGCTCACTTGGAGAGAGACTGATCTCAGTGAGACCTCTGAAGCTATCTTCATTGGGACTTCTTGTCATTTCTTTCGGCACCGACTCATAACTTACAAGTTTCAGCTGGCTACTGGGCACAGGGGAGACTATAGGGCACCAGGCCCTTTGATCCATCTGCCACCTAGTATAGGGCCAGCACAGGCAGAAAGGCACTTTCAGTGAGTGGGAGCAGTTTTGTCCCACCATGCCCTTTGATGACCCCCATGCCATGCTGTGCTCCTAGTGAAGCCTGCTTCACTGTGCAAGGTGTCAGGGTCCAGTGTATGGAGCATGAAGAGATGAGGCCAGCTGGAGGAGTGTGGAGGCGATGAACAGGGTTTTAAGCAGTGCCTTTCATATTGTACTTTTTTTTTGTAATTAGTACAGGGTCTATAGGGTCTCACTACACAGATCAGATTCATAGTGCTCCTCCTGTTTTCAGCCTCCCAGGCACTGAGATGACAGTTGTGCACCACCATGCCCAGTCTCAGTGTGCCCCGGGATGGCAGGGCAGCATGGCTTGCCGGGGATCGAACCCCTAAACCCCAGCTGCTGCGCTCTGCCTAAGCAGGCGCTTTAGTCCACTGAGCTGTCTGGCCAACTCTCATATTGTACTTTAATATCAAGGAAATAGGGTCTCTAACCAATCACTGACTGCTGGGCTGAGACCTGAGGAGAGGTGACATTGAAGACCAGTGTTAACATCTGGGGAAGGGTTTTGAAAATAAACCCTGGGCATTGGTCCTATAATCCTGACCAAGTGGCCAGGAACTTACAGAGATCACCTTCTGAGAGCAAATCTCCCAGTGCCTGCTCCAGGGAGGCCAGCAGTACGCGGCTGAGCCCATGGGCCCAGGCAGCAGATGCATCTTGCCAGGCTCCTGAAGGCAGGGCGGCTTGTCCGAATGGGAGCAGGCACGTGTTCCCACGTGGATCTACTCTCCTTAGCGCCACACCTGTGGGCTACGAATGCCTCTGTGTCCAACCTGTGGCCTCGTGTTGGATGGTGTCTCTTCCTGGGCTCACGATGCACCCTTTTTGATCTAGCTTTCTCACTCTTGCCTCTATATCCTAGTATGGGTCGGTCATGCTAGCCTCTTCCAAGGGTCAGAGTTATTTGTGTGTTTGTTGTTGCCTTGAGACAAGATCTTACTTTATAGTCCAGGCTGGCCTCGAACTTGCACAATCCACATGTCTCCTGGGGCATGCGTCACCTCTCCTGACTCCAGATTTACTCTTGGCCAGGCCCTTTATGTTGCTGTCCCTGCTGCCTGGGAAGTAACATCCTTGCTTGGTACCTTGTCTTGTATTATTGATGTCTCACTTCACCTACGTCAGCCCTCAGCAGGCCCTTCTGCGTCCACATAATTTATAGTGGCTTCCTCAGCAACTAATTTTAAACTTTTTTTTGTGGAACCGGGGATTGAACTCAGGCCCTTGAGCTTGCCAGGCAAGCGCTTGTCCTACTGAGCTATTGCCCCAGCCCCTCTTTTAAACTTTATATAAATTTCATTGTTTTTATTTTCCTCACAGTATTATTGTTCCTTTTTGAGGAAAAACAGGAACAAAATTGTTCCAGAGAATAACCTCTGTATCCAGCAACTATTGAACACCTTCCGTTCACCTACGGTTCTCCTCTGGAAATGCCGTGCATGGAGAGTGAAGGAAGATGGGATGTGTCAGGTTAATGATTTTGGTGGAGGTGAGGTAATGACTGAGGAGAAACAGCAGCAGCCCTGAGGAGCAAAGTCTGAAGTTGCAGAAGGTGAGGGCCTTGCGGGGTAGCATTAAGGCATGCTGGTAGTTATAAATAGGAAATTGAAGGAAGGCTCATTGAGCAATTCTTACAGGAGGAGAAAAGTACACTAATTACGGGATTGCATGCTGTGTCTCCAGAAAGATCAGTGGTTATTTCAAGATTGTATCTCTTGTGTGATGAGCTTGCAGAGTCCCGTAGGCCGTCGTCCCCGCTCTGCGTGGTGCTCCTCTGTGTGGAGAAATCCTATATATAACATCGTCTTCAAAGCCAGCCGGAGTATACACTGGTGGTTGGCGTCCATCGCAGGGTGTGTAGTTGCAGTCTGAGGTGTGCAGCTCGAGCCCCATTGGTCCCTGTGCTCAGGAAGGCGCTGTGCTTGCCCCTAAGATTCACAGGCAGAGTGGGACTATAGAAATGGGTACGCAGTAGGAGAGTCTTTATTTGGAACAGAGGGAGGGTGCTCTGCCAGGGCCCTGTGCAACCCATCCTCACAGCACGAGGCATGAATGATCTCCCAGGGCTGAGGGCCATGTTGCTCTGGGTTCTTAGCTGACTGGGGTGCCCAGGGAGCAGGGCATTTCCTGAAGAGTACACTCGGGACTTCTGTTCTTTGCGCTTGCCCTTTCTCCCGGTCACAAAGCTTGGCTTCTCTTGGGGACTATCCTTCCCCAGCTTCCAGTTCATATGGGTCATGGGTTTGGCCGCACCCACTCAGTTATTTTTGAAACTGGGGATTCAACCCAGGGCCTTCACACTGAACTTCATCTCCAGCCCTTTTTATATTTTTCTTTGTGACAGAAGTCTTGCAAGTCTTCCAGCTGGACCGTAAGTTAATGGTCCTTCTGCCTTAGCCTCCCCCTGGCGTGCACCCCCGTGCCCAACTACACCCACGCAGATTCTCACAGAATCCTGTCCCACTGGCTTCAGTGTTTGGTGTGAGAGTGGAAAGTGACCCAAGATGGCCCAGTAAACTCAAGTCCAGGACTTGAATTGGAAACACTGGAAAAGAGAAGTCCTCATCCTGTGCGACTTGAACGGAGGTTATCTACCTGGTGTGGTAGGGAGCCCACCCGAGGCTGGAAGACACCTGAAGGGGAAGGGACCACAGAGGGCCTGGGGTGAAGACGGAACAGGCCGGCTCTTGCTCCTGATGATGGGCCCTGGTCTGTGTGTGCTTCCGCTGCGCGGCCGTGCCTCCAACTTACCTTTCCTTGTGACTCTAGGCTGTCTTGTGCTTCTCTCAGTTGGAGCTGCGTGTCCTCGCAAGTAGGAAATCCTTACAGCTTTGTTCCTTCTTTGGTAATGAAATTTGCTGTTACCATTCACCATCTTTCTTCCTGGACAGAGCCCTGGTTATGAATTTTCTGATTCATTAATAAAGGTATTTTATGAACCAATAGTGCATCTATTGCTGTGAGCTAATAAATAGCTTTCTTTTCATAACTTTAAGTTTATGTTGAAATAGAATTGGCCTACGTATATGCATTGAAGATCTACCCAGGTCTTTCAAATTTCTGCCTGAGTTGCTGACGACTCCTCCACAATTCCAGTGTTAGAGAGGTGTACACATTTGCAGATTCAGTTGCTTACAGCTTGGCCTTGGAACTCTGAGCCACAATAAAAATTAATAAAAATTGGCAATCATGTTTATTTTATTTTGTATTTTAGGGAAGGGTCTACAGGGTGTTCAGGGTCTCACTACTAGATCGGACTCGTAGTGATACATCCGTTTACAGCCTCCCAAGAGCTGGGATTACAGGCGTATGCCACCATGCCCAGTCTCAATTACATCTCAGTGTACCCCGGGGTTGGGGCTGGCATGGCAGGCCTGGGGCTCGAACCCCTGGCCCCTGTGCCTACTTGCAGGCACTTTAATCCACTGAGCTATTTGGCGGGCCCTTTGGCAATCATGTTTATGCCACTAAATAGTGTTAAGCATCAACCCTACAGTATTGGGTGATTTATGATACTCTGTGTGTGTGTGTGTGTGTGTGTGTGTGTGTGTGTGTGTGTGTGTGTGTGTTTTGTAGTTAGGGTCTCTCTGTAGCCCATGCTGACCTCAAACTTGTGATGCTCCTGCCTCAGCCTCCCAAGTTCTGGTATTATAGGCCTGTGACACCACCTCTAACTGATCCTCTTTCTTAAAGCAATAGAGGATGGAAAATTATGCACAAGAAAAGCTGTATTCTAATTCAAAATGTAATTATTAGGATGAAAAACTATTTTCTCCCTTAAAAATATCT